TTTGTTATTGTTTCTGCTCTACACTGTCAAAAGAGAAGATCATCGCTGTTCTACATTCGAGGGGGAGAATGTTAGAAGATATTTCTCAACAGATAATTGTCTGAAGATTTTAAGTGAAGATTGTTTTTGATGTTTCTGAAGAAGTCATAAAGAACATAAAGAGACAAAGTTCAAACGAAATTCATCGTGCGCAAATTCTTTCAAGTTTGAATACAAAGGGGGAGAATGTTAGGACTGAAATTCAATGTAAAATTGTATTCGTCTTGAAAGTTAATTCTGTCTATAATTGTAGAAAAGTCATCGTGTTTGACTTTTCTTAGATAGGTTTGACTTTGACATTTGTCTAATAGTTTGACCCTATAAATAGGGTGAAGTCTTGTAATTCTTGTAAGAGCTTCATTGTAAAATTCAGAATACGTATATTGAAGTTTGACTAGATTTCAGATCTTGACTTTTCCTCTCAAACTCTCTCATCTCTCCTCTCATGTTCTTCAAAGCTAAATCATAAACTGTCATGGATTCATTGAAGATATCTTGAAGTTTGATCAAAGTGACCTCACACTATATTTTTTTAAAAAGAATGTTGGATGGTCTTTGTCCACAAGGTATTGTATAAACTCAATTTCTCTTGGGTATTGTGTCTCATCCTTATCCACTCATCCCCTATATAAAGAGGTCTTGAGTTCATTTGAAGTTCATCCTTTTGAAGCACTACTAGCAGAAGTCTCTCTTTTCTTCTTCTTTTAAGTTAAGTTTAGCATTTAATTTTCTTGTATTAAGGTTCTAATTGTAATCTGTTGCACATAGGCTCACCACTATGGCAACATACTTTAATTCTATTTTAATGAAAGTTACATTTCAGTTTTATTTCTTGTCTTATATTATGTTTTTTATGTCTATTATGAATTAATTACTTATATGGGTATGGATGTGAGTTTAACTTAGGAATTTTATCTAATAACTGGGTGTTTTTACTTTTTACCACGTCACAACTTGGTCACTTACGACGGGACTAAAACTCATCGTGGATAAGCCGATTACTTTGAAGTATTAATATTAGATCTTTGACTCAGAGATTGGCGGATTCAAAATACGGCTTAAGTGATGCACAAAGAACTTGAGAAAACCTTTGATAATTAACGTAGATATACGAATTTTGTATGTATTTAGCTAAGGATTAAGCATTGGAGATTCATATTACAAAGTTTGAGTATGAATTTTATTTCTTTTTCTATCAAGCTAAATCAATAAGTTTTGGAGTGGTGAGAGTGGGAACTTTGTGGGGACTGTTTATAAATCTTCACTTTCGAGAGATTAAATTTTTTACAAACATCTCATAAGTTTCTGACCATTATATTGTTGATTTTATCTTAAAGAATACTTACACCCATGCTTATATTTTATTTTTTAAGTTTATTTTGCTAATTTCGTCTTTTAAAGCTTTTTATAAACAAAATCTAACTTTTATTCACAAACTGAAACATGCTCAAGAAGTTCATGAAATTATCCGATTCTCGGTGGTTCAATCCCTGTGGAAACAATCTCGGTATTTTATCACTTTATTACTTACAAAAGATAATAGTGTCGGCGTTGTTGTCAGTATTTCACTACTCTAATAATTCAACATAAAATAGACTTTGGCACAAGTATACACTTTAATCTACTGTCGTGTTATAACAAATAATAATGGTACAAATACCAAATATCACAGAGAAGACTTGTAAAGTCTTTCGAAAAGTCCAGGTTTTAAAAATTGATTTCAGATGACGAAATTGAAGAAATCGTTTGTTGGTTGGTTAATTATCAACTACGGAAAATCTGTCGTAAAAAGAAGCAAAGGGTGTAAAGGTCCGTTAGAACTGAAACAAATGATCCATTGGAAAGATATTATAACATTTTCCAGACAATCCAAGAGTACTATTACTTAGTACAATTGTCTTGTCATAGATATCCGACTATCAGGGCAGACGGTCTCCCAAGAGTACACACAGGTCAACATACTATCGATAGAACATCATTTATGTTAAACGTCGTGAATCGTAGTACAACATTGCGTTACCATTCTACACCGTATAAGCATAGCACTTGTCATGTGCTAAATTTATTTTTAGTTTTCTTATATTACCTCTGGTTATCATATTTATCTTAACTTTGAAAGTCAATGCGTTTTCGTACATTAAATTAGTCGTCAATTAATTTAATGTAATCTTCAATAAATATTTTTAGCCTAAAATAAATAGCCAGATAAAAATGTTATATTTAAAACACCTTTCCAATTTCACATCGGTCTTGGTCATAATTTTCCATTATACCCCAAACTAAGGCAATTAGTCATCATCGCTTGGTTTCTTTTTGCAAGAGATGTAAATACAAAAACGTATTTGCAAGTATTTATTTAAAGAAATAGACTTGTCGTGTAAGTTACGTGTTTCTAGAAATAAATACTGAAATTAAATAATGCGGAAATGTAAATAACAGAAAGTAAATTGCGTGAAGTAAAGTGCAATAAAATAAACGACAGAAAGTAAAGTACGGGAAAAGTAAAATCAAAGCAGTAAATTAAAACAGTAAATAAAGGACTAGAATGGTAACTTGCATGAAAATTCTCATTTATGATTTATAAATAGTTGCATGGTTTACTTTTAAACTAAAAGTTTTCGGCCCTTGATATAATAACCCATGGACCATTATGGATCTTTTTCAATCCAAAATATTGTCACGTTTTCAAAGTGTTCTCCAAAAGTAAAACCAAAAAGAGAAGTAATGGTAAATAAATAATAGAAGAGAGGAACTAAAAATATCAAAGCATTTAATATTAAAGATCAAAGATAAGAACAACAAAAGTCAACATAAAAGCATGTGGGACTAGAAGACAAAAGTAGCTTTGAGCTTAAAGAGAGAGAATGGAGAGAAAGTGTGTTTAAGTTATAAATCACAAATGTAACTTCTGGAGATGTCTTAACAAAAATGGCTGAAATCCTTTTATATAGCCAAGGGTTTGCTTAGAGCCAAAACTTGCTAAAAGGGCCCCCAAGAAGTGTAGTCCGAAAGCTTAAAATATGCTCCAAAAATTCGGCCTAAAAGTGTCCAAGGCCAATGTCTGGTCCTACAACATCCTGTAGGGTTGCCTGTGTGAGTTATTGTAGGAATTCAAATGATTGATCATAAATGAGATTTTTGGCCCCTTTATTATACAAAGTAAATGAGATTCATACACTACACCCAATACTCCAAAAACACATGATTAAGAAAGAAAAGAATAAAAAGACTCAAATGGGAACGTGAAAAGTCCTAAAATGTTGTAAAAATAGTGCAAATAGGGTTAATAAATTAACACCTATCAAGCATGCACTTGCACCGCCACTGTGGGGACTTTGTGCCCACTGTGTGAACACGAACGATCGTAAGTTGTCAGTTATAATGAATGGTTGTTATTGTTTTGGAATTTAGCTTATGTGTTGTGTCATCTACTAAAGATCACATGTTATTGTCTAGTAATTGTTTGTTGTCTTTTTCACTAAAGATCACATGTCATTGTCTAGTAATTATTTATTGTCTTTTTCACTATAGATCACATGCTATTGTCCGCCACTGATGATTCGAAATTTTCCTATATTTGGTTGTCTTTCATCAAGACTTATTCAAACAATCTTTCCTCAAACACCCTACAAAAAATTCCATATTTCACCAAAATGTATTTCAGCAAAAACTCATCACCGTTATCAGTTAATGAATTTGAAGCATGGCAATTAGGGCTGTGTATCGGTCGGGTCGGATCGGATCGGACCCAAAAATGGCTAACCCAAATTATAGTGTTCGGGGTTCGGGCCTAATCGGGTTCGAGTGATATCGGGTACGGGGCTATTTCGGGTCGGGTTCGAGTGATATCGGGTACGAAAAACAACAATAATACAAACAGCAAAAAAACAACTATGAATTAGGCATCTTTTTTAGTGTTTCCACTTAATTAACCTGGTCATGCATTGCCTTTTAATTTGTTCATGTAGGCAGAATCATTGAGAGGCATATGTGTTGCTTCCCAAGGTAATTAGGTAACCATACAAACATGTGAGTACTAAACTGAAGAAAATTGCAGTCAATATTTTCTGTTTATTGTTTATTGTTTATTGTTCAACTTCAAGATCAAAGATTCAAAGGTACCTGAATAAAATTGCAATTTATATGCTTCTCAAATGAACTCTGGCTCAGGGAAAAAGAACTCTGGTAGACTAGTACTGACTTACTGTTAATATGTTAATCATCGTCACTCGTCAACGCCCAACGGTTAATCATCGGCAGACGGCAGTAGCCGGTCGGAGTCGGACGACACTCACCARTYGTCRCCTCGTCGGTWTGTTTCGSCTATTCGGGTATCGCGAGAGTATCCGTAGCTGTTGTATGTAGTATGCCCATAGTGTGCCGTATGTAGTATACCTAAACCCAAAGTCGCTACTAGTAGTCGCTAAAGCCCTATTTTGACGTGTTCGGGTTTCGGGCGGGTTCGGGGGTGGATCGTGAGATCCTACCCGATCCGCCATACCCGACTTAAAATATCGGATTCGGACTTCGGGTAAAATCGAGTGAAAATAACCGGTTCGGATCGGATTTCTTCGGGCGGGTAATTCGGATTATTCGGGTAGGGTCGGGTTTTGCACAACCCTAATGGCAATCATGAGTTTTTCAAGAAAACCAACAAAATGATCGCATGCTCGAGGATATGCTCATCAACTCATCCAATTTTCTTCATAGGAGATCAACCTTCAAGAGTAAGAAGAAGGTATCGTGACAGGCAACGCAAGATAGGTGAAGCGTGTTTGATGAAAGACTACTTTTTGGACTATCCGACATATGATGACGTTACTTTCCATAGAAGATTTTGAATTAGATATTTATTTCGTCGTATAGTAGATGCTGTGACTGCTAATGACGATTCTTTTCAACAAAGACTTGATGCCATAGGTAGACAAAGTCTTTCAGCATTACATAAATGTACTGGAGCCATGAGGGTGTTGGTGTATGGGACATCAGTCGACGCAGTTGGCGAATATTTGAAAATGAGTGGTGCCACAATAAGGGATTCTCTCATGAATTTTGTAGATGGTGTCATCTCATGTTTTGGTGAAGAGTACCTCCGAAATCCTAACAAAGATGATTTAACAAGACTACTCCATGTTGAAGGTCAACGTGGATTCCCGGGTATGATAGGTAGTATTTGACTGTATGCATTGGGAATGAAAAAGTTGTCCGAGCGTATGGCTGGACAATATGCCAGAAGAAGTGGAAAATCAACAATAATTTTAGAAGTAGTTGCAACATATGATTTATGGATATGATACACTTTCTTTGGAACATCAGGTTCGTTAAATGATATTATTGAACTCCATCGATCTCCTGTTTTTGATGATGTATTGACAGGTCGAGCACAATAAGTTAGTCATATCGTGAATGGTTGCTAAAACAATCAGGCATATTATCTCACAAATAACATATATCCTTCATGGGCTACATTTGTCAAGTCAATTACGTTTCCACTATGCAGAAACACAAGTTGTTCGCTCAATATCAAGAGTCTTGCAGAAAAGATGTTGAACGAGCATTTGGAGTTCTACAAGCTCGTTTTGCATTTATTCGACACCCATGTCTTGTTTGGGATAAAGATAATATGAGACGAATTATGATTGCTTGTATCATCTTGCATAATATGATAGTTGAAGACGAACAAGACGCATACCTCCATTATTATGATTTTACTAAATTTCTTAACGATAAGCCCACAAATCGACAACCCGAAAGTTATACAAAAGATGATGCCCAACCATTTACATTCTCTACTGAACGAATTGGAAATCTAGCCACTTATATGGCTAATAGGGAAGCACATAATTCTCTAAAATGATTTTATTGAGCATATATGGCAGAAAGTTCGGCACTGATAATTAATTATGTCTTTTAGATATGTAATTCTGTACTTTCTTTTGTAACTTTTTTTAAATTATAATTATGTTTTAAACTCTCGTTTTGCATTTAATCTGTTTTTTTATATTCAAGAATAATAAATAAAAAAAATATTTTAGATATAATAAAATACCAATATATACATATTTTAAAAATGTTAGAGATTGGATTGGATCACTAATAAACCATAAAAAATGTAAGATTGGACTGAGATTGGAAATTCGGTAGGTGAAAGAGATAGAAATTAATTTTTTTAATAGAGATTAGGTTGGATTTGATCGTGGTTAAAGATAGTCTAAGAAGATCAATGTGCTAAAAAGATCGTTGAAGTAGCCGTCTTGGTAAGCGCTTGTATCTCACGTCATGTTAAGCATGTGGCATGTCACGACCTAATGCATGGTTTTTGTAACGTAATATTTGATTTTTCTTACTTTTTTGATTTCTTATTTGTTAGTTTCTAATGCATAACCTAATTTAAATTAATTAATATCATTGACTCATTGAGTAATGGTAGAAAATATATGTTTATATGTTTAATATTATATATGATATAAAGATTTGTCGTAATAAGTGACGCTTTGAAAAGGGTCATAGCCTTGCCATGACTCCTAAGGCTTGAGGCTTGACCTCGTCGCCACGTCATACCTTACGCCATTTAGAACATTGAGGAAAATTATTGGTAAGGTTATTGGTGATGGCATGGTTCTAAATAACTCGTTATGACGTCAAGGCTTGGGTTTGCCACCATGTTAACCTCTATGGCTCTACTCTAAGGCTTGACTTGCATTATAGCGTGTTATGGCCTGTTACGACATATTATGACGTGTTATTTGTAAGGTATGGGATTACTTTAATATTTAACTTGAGGGATAAATGATAATTATGTACGTGATCTAGGACTTAAATAAACATAAAAAGACAACTTAAAAACTAAAACCTAAAATATTTAAATACTTACTCGCATTCCCATACATGAAAGGTTGAACACGAATTCTTTGAAAATAGAAGAAAGTAGTGAGTCGAGATTTAATCTCAATTTTACACTTTTAATATCATTTTTTATAAGCTCTATATATTCAATATTAATGGTTTTTCTTTCTTTTTTTAGTTTTTTACTTAATATGAATTTAATTTGCTTAACAATATTATTCAAAACACTAATGCATACAAGTGTGTGTGTGTGTGTGTATGCATGTCGCATTAGGACACGCCTTGAAAAACGTTGTGACCTCGCCTTAACTCGTAAGACTTGACACTTAACCTTGTCACCACGTCACACCTCACGTCATTTAGAAGTTTGGGTGATGCCTAGAATGCTTTCATTAAACGTAGATTTATTCTTGATAGTGTTATGGCAGGCAATGAAGTGGTTGACTTCATCAAAAAGTCCAAAAATAAAGTTTTAGTTGTTAAAACTGATATCGAAAAAGCCTTTGATAGCCTAAATTGGAAGCTTAATGCTTGAAATGGTGCAACCAGATAAAAGAACTCCCCTCCATCTCTTTACTCATCAATGGCTCACCTACAAAAGAATTCCATATGTCGAGGGGTGTTAGGCAAGGGGATTCGCGGATTCGCTATCCCCCATTTCTCTTCATAATTGCAGCGAAAGGGATAAATATAGCTATGAAAGAGGCGGCATCAAAATGAAAATTTAATGGTGTAAAAGTCGTGAAGGACGAAATTGGGTTATATCACCTCCAATTACAGATGATACCATCTTCTTGGTGAATGGTCGAAAAGAAACGGCCGAAATCTCATGGGTATTCTTCACTGCTTTCAAATGATTCCGACTTCAAGGTAAACCTAATAAAAAATAAGTTATTTGGAGTGGGATGGCCACTTGGATGGGCTGTAAAGCGGGCTCATTGTTATTCAGTTACATGGGCTTATAGATATGAGACTGTAACACCCCCAGATCTCACATTGCATATAATACATATTTCATTCATAGAATACATATTCAAGCCCACAAAGGTCCATAATACAAGAGTCTACAATACAAAATACACAACTCAAAAATTCCAAAATACATGCTCTTGTATTCATAACATCTATTCTTCAAAACACATCCAAAAATGATCTTCATAAAGCTAAGCACATAGGGAAATAATTCACATTTTCCCTTTTCCTTTATCATTATATTCTGCATTTTCTGCAACACATATTTGAAAAAACAAAATTGAGAGTTAGACCTAGAAGTCTAGTGAGATTCCCTTTTTCCATGTAGTTGTAGGGTGATAAGCACCAAAACAGTTATTCAAATAAAATCATTGCACATTTCAATATGTGAAACCACATTCTGTTTGAGTCCATCAAACCTCTGGTTCCAAAGACAGACTTAGAAAATATTTCAACAAACAAGAGGACCAGGGCTCCTCTAGTTCCTCTACCAGAGCTTCTGGTCAAGCCAACCAGAGCCTCTTACTCAAGTAAAGATTCTCAAATAATTCATAGATCAACCTCTTATATATTAAAATAGCTCTTCCATGGTTAAAAATATAGTTTTTGAAAAGATCTTGTATGACCAGAGCTTTGGTTCTACTAGCCAGAGCTCCTGGCTCAATTCACAAAACTTCAACCAGAGCCTCTGGTTCAACCTGCTAGGCCAACCAGAGCTTCTGGTTCTCAATGTAAGACCAACCAGAACTTCTGGTCCAACCCGCATAGGCCAACCAGAGCTTCTGGTCTGTCTTTCTTTGTAAGAAAACTTCCCAAGTATAAAACTATTTTCTTAAAAACTCTAAAAATATGAATTTGACATAGAAGTTCTTATCTATAAATACAGAGCCTCTGGTCCAGCTAAAACATTTTAGTAAAGACTTGCACTATTCTCAAATCAACATCCAGAACCATCTGGTTCTACAATGAGGACCAACCAGAGCCTCTCTAGTTCCTCTAAAATCAAACACTTGATTTAAATAGATTTTTTATCTAAAACCAATGGCCATAGGCCAAGTTTTCCGCCTTCTCAATAACATCAATACTATCATTTCTAATAAGAACAACACCTCTGAGTCCTCAAATCACAAATAAGCAAGAACTCAAATCTATTGTAATCGTAAAAGACATAATAGCAAGAGCTATAATAACCACACACAATTGCCACTCTTATATCCAAAGGTACACCTCTCCTTGATATGACACCCTTATAGCCGAAGGTACACCTCTCCTTGATATGCCACCCTTATTTCCTCATCAAAATCTATGGATTAGTTCCAAACGAAGACAGACCGAAGTAACAACCGTCTTGATGAGATGCCCTATATAGTTTTCAACCAATAATGGTTTCCAAAAACTGTTTTATCATCAAAGCTTTCAAACTTAAGAACAATCTGTTCTATAACTGATTTCTCCAAAACATCAAATCCCTTTTAAATCTTCAAAACAAGATATCAATCCCAAAACTGTTTTAAAGAAGCAATCTCTTCTTTATTTTTCCAAAACAATTTTCTATACTCAAATCAATAACCATAACACCTTTAAGTTGTCAAAAACAGTTTTACCATCTTTTATTCAAAACCAACATAAAAACCCAACAGTTTATATAACAACAAATATAAAGGTTTTTAGTTATCAAAAACTCACCTTGTCAACACAAATTTTGCAGATTATAGTAAATTGGTTCTTCAAACAATTTTGAGCAATAGTTCTTTTCCAAGAACACTCTCACCGCCAGAAAACACCTTTTTCTCTCCACCCGAATTTCTTCTCAAATAAAGTGATAAGATCAAGATCTTATCCTTTTTCTTTCTTTAAATACTCTCACAAAGGCCGTGGAGATTATTTTAATTATAACAATAGTTTGGGCGATGGAAGATATCATTTTAAAACCAAACCTTTCTTAACCCTGAAGGTTGGAGTTTTATATGTATAATAATAATATCCTCATATAATATATTACCGCATGTATGCACATTATCATGTTATCGCATCTATGCACACCATCCACGTATTTATGTTAAAATAACATGCATGTTTATCACATATTTCGTATAATAATCACGTATAGGTTACCTCAACCTAGGTTGTCTGAAACCGGTTATAACAGAGACAGATAGGGAATTGGAATGTCGTAGAAAAATAATCGAAGAAATTGTGGAATGTCTTTTAAAAGTCAATTCACTCTTATTAAATCAGTTCTGGGTAGCCTCCCTTTATAGTCTTCCTCATTGTTTTCTGCTCCATTGGGTGTGCTTAATACACTTGAGAGGGTGAGAAGAGAGTTTGTGGGGATAATAAGCTATCTTGGGTTGAGTGGATCGTTATTCTCTCTTCTTTTGAATCAGGTGGGTTGGATATAGGGAGTCTAAAAGCCATAAATTATGCTTTATTAGCCGAATGATGGTGGAGGTTCAGTAATGAAAGAAATTCATCGTGGGTCAAAATTATTTGTAGTTTGTACGGTTTAGAGGGTGGTTTGGGTTGGATAAGAAATTCTTGGTAAAAAATAAGGGAGGTGTTCAGAATAACATCATAAATTCGGGTTTTGACATAGATAGACTTGTTCGTTGTGGATTTCTCTTCTTCCTTCATCAAGAAACTTGGAGATGGATCCTCAATCTCCTTTTAGTTAGGAACTTTTCGTCTTTGTGATCACTTTCCTTGTTTATTTAGTTTAGAAAGTGACAAGGGGGTAAAATTCAGGAATCAGGGTTGTTTGGGTTTGGAAATAGGGATGGAATATGGCGCCTAGGGTCGGGCCATCAACGATTCAGGTGATCTTTATGATTTAACCCAAATCTTTTATCCTTCTCGTAATCCTAGAACAATTGGTGGTGGCTACTAGAATGTTGGATCATTGTCTTGTGGGATGCAAGTTTGCGTCTGAAAATTGGGAATTATTTCGTACATGGTAGGCTCTTGAAAACAACTTAGAAACGGATGTGCGATATTGCAAATCATCCAAGTGTTCTCACGTTTTCCCCTTGGCTTCATAGG